ATCAAGGACTGCTAAGCAGTACAAAGTTTGCACTGAAAATACTGTAGCAACAGTGAACAGTTTTAATGAAACCCGGCTTTATCAATTATATTTTTATATTTCTTGATGTTTCAGATCAAATTCTATGAGAATATTCATCCGCTAGAAGTTGAAGTCAAAGACCTCAGGGAGTGGAACAAGTCTTTAGAAGACCAGGTTGACAAATGGAAACAAGATGTTTACAAGCTACAAGAGGTAATTAATGGGGGTTACACAAATGCGCTTACTATCGCACGCCGCAGCACACCACCACATAATCATTGCATATCAGTGCATATTATTAAAGTGAATATTTTTACTCAGACTTCTGATAATGACAATTAATGATATTGTGAATTATAGCTATACAGTGCGTGAGATTTTAATATTTTCATTTGCAATGATCAAAAATGGCAACGACATCCACGAGCTCATCACTTGAATTGGAAGTCCACATTCAATTTAGGTCAGCATTCAGTTGAAGTCAGCATTACTTGATGTCATATTCAGCAATTATAGGTTTGTGGCTGTCATAGAAATGTGTCATTATTGCATAAGTAAAGGCGTTGCCAAAGCCCGACCAATCCAAATTTTACCAAATTCAGGGTCAGCATTATATTTTTTTTTTTTACTACAACGAACAATATTTTTTTATAAGCTATATTAAAGGGCTAGAATAGCCTTGGCCAGTTTAGGGGGCCAAGGCCTACAGTAGCATATTTTGCTGGTTGATTAGCGATTGAAATCAAAAGTTGTATTATATGTGTATTTTTGAATTTTTTGGCGTAAACACATTTTTGGTTGTTAAAAAAAAAGGGTTTCCTGCCGACCTACCCATTTTTAATACGTTCCTTTATACGTTTCCTAAAAGTGACCAACACAATGCACAGCAAAATAAAATTAAATGTGTAAATTTTGTTCGAGTTCCGAACGCTATTCGATTGTCAATAGAGCACCCCCTAGCTCGTGGTAGTACTACCCATCATGCCTAAACCGGATTTACCATTTTCCGCCATCTTTAATTGCTGCATTATGACATAGTGTCTACGCCCCTGTTGGGGGCAGTAGACACAAAAACTACCTGAGCACTGCTATCAATCTTTGGAAGTTAACCATTTTTTTTATCTGAAAAACCTCAAATTTATCTTAATGTCTCTTACCTAAATGCTTACTACAAATGTGTTATATTATCTGCCTTTTTTTATATAATCAAAATAAGATATTAAAATGTGAAATATTATTTCAAAAGTCCTATTATAATATTTGTTATGGAGCTCTCTCGTATGTTCTGACCTTTTAAAATCCCTAGCGTGATCATTTCTAGATAATTTACTGTAAATAACATTAACCAGCGATATTAGTACCATTAGCTGTGGAATGGAAGGCAGTATGCTAAGTAGATATACTGTAAAATATTCATAGAAAACATTGCATAAACATAGTAGAGTGGTATGCAAATGTTTTGATTCATAGCTGATAAAAAGATAATACTGTACTCAGATTCAGGTAAGCTTGTTAAATCAAATGTCATCATTAAAATGCAAAGTGATATCAAAATTGATTATACCAGAATGAATTATTGTAGTATTAGCTCTTCCATAAGGTGATGTCATAATTATTCTGAATTGATATTCATCAGAAATTGTACTGAAAAATTCTTACTTCACTATAATAATAAACTACTGTAGACCTACTGTAATCGTGCGAATAAGCGCCCGAGTATTTGAAATAATTTGAGGGATGCTTATGAAAATGAGTGGAAATTGAGGGGGAGGAGGGAGGCGCTTATAGAAATAGACAAAAATTAAGATGTGTTTATGGGAACTCGAAAAATCCATGGGCGCTTTTTGAATAAAAAAAAAGATTATAAGACATCTGGAAATCGAAGGCAACAAAAAATCACATCAGCCGAAGACCATCAGGTACATTGAGTGCCCAGCTTAAGATGTATTCACACATAGTCGGTGTTTAAGAATACAGACACTGTCGTTCAGCGCATCAGAAATGCGATCCGAATTTCAGTTCGGATCCTGTGTAAACGCAGTTTTACTAGGCACAGTGTGTTACACTGCATGTTACTGTATGTAAGCTTTTTCATTGCTGATCCTTGACATTTTCATTTACATTTTCAGTAACAACAAAAATGAAAATTGAATATTTCAAGTATACACCCTCCCATTTGTAATGCCTTATTACAGCAAAGATAATAAATAAAAGAAGATAGAGCAGTTCGCGATATAGTGTAATGTCCATTGTTTGTTTCATTAGTTTCTCCACTCCATCAAACAATTTTCCTTCATTCTTGAGACGGCGGACATTCCATCAATTTTAATGCAAACTACGCGAAGAGCTCATTCTTCTGCTATTTAAGTTCTTTGCTTACAGTTTGACTCATTGTGAATTTTAATAGATTTGAAATTAAAATATTAATATTTTTCATTTCAGAGTGAAAATCTAGTATTGATTTGATTGATTGATTTTGTTAACTTTATTGTGTTTTTTTTTTTTTTTTTTTTTTTTCGGACAGAATTTGAATGCTGAACATAGGGAGAGGGTTCATTTAGAAACTCAAAGTAGAAAGCTGACTTTGGAGCTTACGGATGTGAAGTCTTCCATTCAGCAAGGCGACTATAAGAAAGAAAACTATGACCGTATTCGGAGGTTTGGTCAATTTTAATTCTTACTCGCATGAACAAATACCGTAATTCCTATAATATAAGCCCACCTGCATTCAATACAAACTTGGGCCAAATTTGGTGGGTGGGCATAAGCCCAGGTACTTCCTGTTCATTGAAAAGGAAATATTCAGCATTGCATGCCTATTTTAAAGCCATTCGTTGCTATTTTTCTGAGAGTTTTTCGTGAAAGACCTTTTTATAGCTTGTTTCACAAACTTATTTTTTTAAAGATCGTCAAATGAGGGCAGGAAAAAAAAATGAAAACATAATTTTTTTTATTTAGCAAAATAAAAAGAAAAACATTCAGATGGAGGAGAAAATAAAAGTAAGATGTTTAATGTAAACAATGTAGTAATGGGATGATAAATGCTTTAATATATATAATTAGGACAAAATATACATCTTATTTTTGGAGATTTCAAGGCAGAGGTGTGCATAAAACAATATGAAGAAAAAATTATATTTTTTTCTGAAATTTCCAGTTTTTTTTCGTTGTGGTTAGTTCACTAAATTGACCAAAGATAGAAATTTTATTTTTATTTGAAATCATCAATAATGGTGGGCAGTGGGTTCGCAAAACGATGTATAATAAGCTACTCATTAAAATCATACCCTGGACTTTGGCCCAAAGAAAGGCTGGTATGTAAAATTGGGCTTAGAGTACCACAGTCGTGTCATCATGACACCAGGTGGCGCTCTCTGTTGTCAACAGACCTAGGTTACCGTTATTACGCCTGAATGACTTCATAGGCTTTCTGGAATATGCATTTTGAAATCTAATATTTTACCATCAAAATGTACTAAAAACACAAAAGCTCACATTATATTACTTATCAAACACACATTTAATCATCAATTAAAATTTACAAAGAAAAAGTAAGATACAACATCTTAATAATTACATTGGAAATTGGGATCAATGGTTTGTCAGTCGAAAAAATGGCACCCGGTTGAACGCTTTTTGCAACGAAAGCAACGGAGTAGTATCACGCGGTATCGTGACATAACAACTAGTACTCTATAAAGTAGGGGTTGGGCTTATACAGTACCTAAGGTAGGCTTATACCCGAGAAACTATGGTAAATGAATTGAATAAGTGAAATAATAAGTAAATTCAATCAATAGTCAAAATTTGTAAACCTCCAGAATTCACTGCAAGCAATATTTAATGTTGCTGAGACATGAATTCTATATCATATACCAGAGTGATCTGAACACAACAGTACTTTTTTAGGGAGCGTGATGAATTGGAACAGGAGCTAATGGAGACGAAGAAGCAATACGCATATGTGAGTGCCGCGCACCAAGCGGCTGCAAAGCAAAGAGATGAGATTCAAAAAGAGGTAGAATTTATATGATAATCATTCATTTATTACCTAATTATTATGAAAAATAATATTGCAATTATGATTTTTAAGTATTACATTACAGTATTTTTACAATAATAGTTTAAACAATGTAGATTTTCTTATTTAATTGTCATTTTTTTAAATTCATACACTATACTGTAGATGATTGATATGGCTTAATACAGTATTTGTCTATTTTTTCATTCTAGCTGTCAACTGTTAGACAGGAGTTGAACCTGTTGGGCCAGGATAAGGAATACCTAAGTCGTCAACTGTCGGATCTTACAAGTAAATACGGATTCGCTGAAGACAAGTTAAGCCAAGCTTCCATTGAAGTTGAGCGCATCAAGAAGGCTAGAGAAGAGTTGTATGAAAAATATGTTGAATCCAGGTATTTACTGTAGCTCTGTCCCTACTGTTAAATTTTATGTGATTGTTTATTTATTTATTTAATTATAATTGTACGATCGCTTGTGCTTGGCGCCATGGACGACTGTTCCATTTTGTTTTTGAGTGGTGTTCTCTTTTGGGAGATATTAGGAAATTAGTGGATTTATCCAGATAAGTATTCATGAAATAAACAAATGTGTTATTGTTTGTTTGTTTATTATTTATTTATTATTCATTTATCTTATTTATTTATACTGGGTTAGCTCGTTAGTAAAAAGGTTACTGTTCTCCCAGAGGAACCAGTATCTATAAAACATTAGCATCACAACATTGTATGCCCATATTTAGGTGTAATGTATGACATAATCGTGCCCATATTTGGGCACATCAAATAAAATTTGATTAGTGTGAACAGAGCTCTACTATGAACAGATTGAAAATTTCTACGTTCAGACCTGGGAGATACACGAGGCATGACTAGCCAGATGTCCAGACTGGGTGATTAACGAACTCTAGTGTAAATATTCGCACAATTAGTCTTATTTGTAATCGTGTATTTATTTCCTGTTTGCCTCTAGGCTTATTGTGATTGGTCAAGTCCTGGCTGAGCTAAAAATTATTGATGCCTGACCTCCATAACTCATTGGCATACACTAATCTGAGGTTTGCTGGTGAATTATACACCAGTGATTGTGCAGTAATAGTGGCGTTCGCTACACCGTGCACAAGTTTACACCACTCAATTAACGTTACACTTGTGTATCTCGTTGTGTCTGAACATAGCCTGAGTGATAAAATGCTTGCCTTCCAATCCAAGAGTCCTGGGTTCAATTTCTGTCAGTGTTGCAGGATTTTTTTTCACTACCAGTACAACTTCACTTTCTAAGGCTGAGATTTAGCTTGTGTAATGCAATGATGTGAGTTGCTCATTTGTCACGGAATGATGAACCACCTGTCGGGGATAATGCTGGCACCGCCCCTGTTATTTTCCTCCACTCCCAGCTTTATAAGACTTCTAATAATTGCAATGTTTTCTTCTATCTAGGGACCGCTTCAAAGCTGAGTATGAGAGTAAACTGAGAAGGGAGTTGGATGAAATTCGTTTGAGAACGGATGCAGAGGTCGACAAGGTCAAATCCTCCACAAAAGAGCTATTTGAACGCGAGAATAGGTATGTCTGCATTTGACATTCAGCATACACCAACGGAAGTTAATGGACAGCTTTGTAAGCATGATAATAGGGGCCCGTAACAGCGTACCGAATAAACTAAAAATAGTAATTGATTGTTCTTACAGACTTCCGCTAAGATAGCAACGTTTAATTATTGATCGACATCTTACATAACACAGGTCATGTTGGGTGAAGGTTAACTTTGGTTGGTTCATCATGGCATACCACCTTGCTAGAAATACTTGACAAGACAGCAGTTTCACGCCAGGCGTGAACTCAAGCCATTTCGTTTGCACTCCAAATATATGTGACGTGGCTTGTATATCCCAAGTGTTGGTTTCTGTCTCCACTGCTTACATTTAAAGAAGCAGATTGCAAATGAAGAGAGGGGAAATTACTGGCATGAGAATTCTAAGATACAAGTGAACAAATTTACTAAAACCTTCCGAAAGATTAGCAGATAGTACATTTTAAAAGCTTGGTCTAAACGCTGACCAATTTATTTGCTGTGCATATTTTTTGCACATAGATTGATTTTTGCCGTACCACATTACCATGTTTACTTTTATTTCCCCTGATTGGTTGGCGGGTGGGCAAAGTGAGGCCTGTGGGCCACATGCAGCCCGGCAGTGTTTTAGTTACGGCAGGAAAAAATACATACCCTATGTCATAGTTGGCTAAAAACACCTTGTTTTTTACGGCCCGCGCTGATCATCATAAAGGTTGTGGAAATCCACTGGAAACATCAAAGTTTAGGTGCAGAAGTCAATGTTTAATCAAAAATTCAGTTTTCCCCACTGACTAATTTTTATGCCCAAGTTGGTGTAATGCATACAGACTACAATAAAATAAGGGAACAATAGTATTTAAAATATATTAATGAAATACCTCATCACAATCTAGATACATCAACATTTTGACATGTAAATTATTATTTTGTATATAGAAATCTGCGTGAAGCAAGGGATTCAGCATTTCAAGAACGAGAGAGGGCGCTTGAAGCCCAAAGAGAATCAGATACTAAGTTTGAAGACATGCTGGCATCGTAAGTGATGATTATTGTTTGTTGTCCTTTCATGAAATTTCTTTCTTCACTTTATTTACATTATAGTATCGAATATGCATTCCTACAAGTGCATTAGATGAAATTTTACGCAGTGTATCACAGCAAGTCACTGAATTACCCGTTCAGGGTCTTTATATTTTAGCATTTAAAGAAGGTTGAACAAAACATCCCAAATTCTCAAAAATTAAGGACACTTTATTTTTCCAAAAATACTTTTTTTGTACCAAGAAGCATGCAAATGATGTTACAAAAGGCAAAGGCCAGTTTACAGGCTTAAACAATGGGATTTTAAAGCACTGATTTCACTCACAGAATTTGATAGCGTGGACAGAGCTTTAAAACCACTGTGGTCACCATTTTATCAATAATACTGACACAGAACCCAAGAATTTGGCCTGGCTATTTTAAAAGTAAAAACAAAAATAACAAAAGCACTCCCAAAATAACAAAATGAATCTCCCAAAATATGTTCCTAATTTACTTGAACCGCCACCACTACCACCTCACTTCCCTCCACTCCTCTTCAAAAATGCACTATAACTCATCTCTTTCTATAAAATAATTCTTCAAAAATATGTTACTGCTTTCCAACCACCAACCACAATCTATTTAAAAAAATACACTAACGCGAAAGTTTCATTTAGATGAGTTGATTAGTTTTTTGAGATCTGATCTGTGATATTTTTGCTTTGAATGGTCCAAATATCGACACCGAAATATATTCACTTTTCATTTTATTGTGTCAGTTGTAGACCTGCCAATTCTTTATCTTCTGGCTTAACATACTGGCACGTTTTGCTCCTATAGCTGACAAACAAAATACATGCAATGTATTGTTGTTGTAATGGAAATAGAAATATGGGGACATGTTTAAATGTAAAGATACATTAAGAATATTCCAATAAGTTCTGAAAAAAGTGAAGTTAGTACATATAAAACTTCGTACACCTTTACTGTAGTTGCGCTAATTTAAATATTCATCGTATAGCTGTTGTTTCTCTCTACGGTAATACGGTTTAAACTTATTCATTAAATGGTCCTCATATGCACACCCTACTTCAGATCGTGACCAAAATTGAAACACTTCATAACAAACTATTATGCCTATTACTACTTACTTACAAATATAATCTTTTAATAAATATATATATTTTTAAAATAGATAAATAAAATTAATTATTTTTTAGGGGGTAATTAATTGGTGCAATGAGGCTTATTATTACGAGGGTACAGTAGTTGGATATATTTGGGTTGTGCAATTCAGGTGGTTTATTCTGTATGTGACTATTTTTTTTTAATTTTAGCTCTTTTATGTGGTCTTGAAAAACAGTTTTCTTGTGCATTTTTGTGTTGTAATTTCGTTTGTAATGTGAATTTAAATTTTTTTTTTTTGCAATTCAACTTCAGGTGCTACTGAATATGTTTATATAGGTTTGATGTTTTTCGAAATAAAGATACCATTTATTTTATGTTACTTTACATATGCAAGATAACTCCTTTTTTGGTCTTTTTGCTAAAACTTTGTTGGACTTGTCACTTTAAATACAATACATATGCCTTTGATGTTTTAAATTCTAGGTATCGTAAGCTGCAAGTGGAGTCGGATACAAAGACTTCCGATCTACAGAATGAGCTTCGTTTGAAAACCTTTGATGCTGAGCGCACTCAGATGCTGCACGAGGAAACACTGCAGAACCTTAAGAAAACTCAACTAGATTGTGATAAACATCAAACCAAAGTGGAGGTATTGCTTGAAGGAATTTTTCTATATTAAAAGCCAAAGTTACCTGGAGTCTATAAAATATTTTAACTTCCTATATTTCCCTTTTACAGGTCTTAACAAAAGAATTCTATGGGCTTCAGACTTCGTCAGAGCGACAGATAAAGGAGCTGGAATCAGAGATTGCAGAAAAGAAATCCAAATTGGAAATTTATGAGAAGCTAGAGCAGGAGTTGGATGATGTTGTGATGCAGGCTGCAGAGTGTAAGCACCATGAAATATTGTTCATTATATACCGCATACATAGATTCTAGGCATCTGATTGGTTAAGAAGCTGACAATAGAAAGTACTTTTACCTATATATGAGGTCTCACCACAAAATGAGTCTCATGGTTAGAAATTCAAAAATTGAGTTTATATTATATTTGGGTAGATCAAATTATAAGCTTTCATTTGGTCTTTGAACAGCTTCCCTACTATAAGTAAATCCAGAGATGTGAGCATTTAAAGTTTAGGTGTATAAGAACC